GTAGACAAGGCGTGCGAGAGGCTCTAAAATAGTTTCGCCAGCCCGGGTGAACTGACCTATCGCCGCTAGTGTCTTGCCGCTTTTTCTTGAGCCTGTAGGCTGGCGATGGCCTTGCCGGATCCGTAGAGGACCTTGGCACGCACCTGGACGCGCCTTTTCGTCCTTGCACTCGCGTCCGAGGCAGCCGGACTTCCGGGCGCGGCCAGTTGTAGACAGCCGCCCGTGTAGTTAGCGCCCCTGCAACTGGTGCAGCCGTCAGACATGATAGCTCTTTTGGAGGGTGACAGATCGTTGGTATCTGGGATGACGTGTGCTGGAAATTTAAAAGCGAAATTCGTGAATTCGTGTCGATGCACTTGGTTGCGCCTTATTTAACTCCGCTCACCCCTACTGCGATCCTTGTCTTAGCGACTACCACTCATTTTGCAAGATTAGTCGTGCCTTAATTGTTAATTCATTGCGATTATTGTACTATCGATAATATATTAAGCTTTATGCGCTTTTAGCAAGTATCTGTTTGTCAAGTTGAACCAGCAACTCGTTCGAGATTCGATTTTTTATCTTGAATTTGAATAAAAGTTGAGGAAACATGTAAGGAAAAGCTAAAGACCTTTCTTACTTTAGTCACGCGATTGCATACTCTCTTATGCATATGATTATTGCAATATTTCAATTAAAAAAAATTATAAAAGCTATTACTTATGTAATTATTATGATAACAAATAGAATTGAAACTTTTTACGTAAATTATCTTTAAAAATATCATTAGAAAAAATAATAATTGTATAATAAGGATTGTAGTTATGAAATTACTAATACTCTAACAGGACTATTTATGTAGTTTTTAAAATTATTATACTCTTGTGATTGCATTTAATGTTTCGAAGGTTGCCAATTTCATGTTTATATTGTGCATCAATGAGTTTTGTTTTGATGTATAATATTAGTTTATAAAATTACTTTATATATACTTGTATTCTTTTACTCTAATCGATTCTAGTATATCTTATTAAATAATCGCGAAGCTAATGTTCATACTGATATCGATAGTTGCTTATAATATATAATAATTAATTTCTTTGTTTTATATTATAATCTTTCAAATCAGCTTACTTTCAATAAAATAGTAACTATGACAATATTTTCATTTTTCTTGTGCGCTCTATTGATTAAATGTATTTGATATTCTAAACAAACTCTTGATTTACTTTGTTTATTATGAAGGTAATTACTTTGGTAATGAATGACAATATATTATGATCAAGTAAACTAAATAGTATTTATATATGAGAATGTAAGACTAAATTTATTTCATAAGATGTGCATTAATAAAGAGTATAGTTCAATGTAAATTATAAATTTGTATAAAAAAAAGTCTTATCTTACATAAATGATAATGTTAATGAATTATATTTATATGATTAATAAAAGTTTTTATCAGAAATTAAGAGATAGAATTGATATGTACGTTATTTATATAACATTTATTCCTACATTCTTGCCTTTTCGACTTATATTATAATGATACAATATGTATATTTAATTAACTCAGAAACAATGTCAAATGATCATTGATGATTATTTTTTAATAAAATTCCATTGATGTATTGTTATGAAATTGTCGGTGTTACATTAGAATTTATATTTTATGAATTATTAAAAAATTGTTAATAGCATATATATATATATATATGTATAAGTTAAAAAGTCGTAAAATGTATATATATTTTTATCAGTTTTATTAGAATTTTTTTCTATGAATAGCAATATTATTGATCGACATCAATTGCAAATAAACTATTTAATTAGAGTTTAAACACAGATAGTATTACACTGACGATAAAAGTATTTTAATTTATATCCAATGTAACACTGTAATAAGTATTTGTAATAAACAAAGTGAAAGGATTACATTAGTCAAAGAACTTTTCCTGTTAAAAAATTTCGGTTCGAAAAAAAAATATCATAAAATTTCAATTACAGATATCATATGAAATTTTATTAATTTGATTAAATTCTCATTTAAATGGACATTAAAAGCATACAAAATCTAAATATTTATTTCATTTTGAAAATGTAGACTGTAAATTATGAAATACAATTACTTTATTTTTATAACATTGACGGAGATAAATGAAGTTTTATCAATACTTTAATTTTTTCAGTTTTACTTCCGAATTAGACTATCTTGTTAAATAAAATGTTAAAAGAAATAGAATCGATTCAATAGAGTACTTGTTCAAGATCTTTTCGACTTTTTTTTTAAATCCAATTTAAGACGATTTCGATAAGCAGTTGTGAAAACCACTTTCATTCGTAAAGTGGTTTACTTGTAAAGCCTTTTTCGGAAGTCTTGCAGACTACTTTTGGCTGGAGTATCGACTACTTTGTTATATACAAAACGTGACCTTTTCGAAGGTCCAAATAGGAACTTTAGAAACTTGAAATTACTTTGACTAACACCAAGTGTATAACAATAACGGATGAAAATTCTTTTAAGCAAAATAATTTGGCATACATAATACGACCAACAAAAAACTTATATAGTTATAACATTAAACATAGATTATATGATTTTGGACTATTTTTAGCTTTATAATTACCTATTTTTTAATTAATTAATATATAATATCTTAAGATATAATATTAAAAATGAAAATACTAGAACACATTTTTATTCTTTTCAATATACTCTTAAAAATAAAACTACTAAAACGTGCCAATATCCGCAGTTTCCAATATTCTGGATTTCAAAAGCCACCAAACTTTTAATTTTGTCTTTCAAATAAAGAATGTTCAAGAAAATCGACATTGTATAGTTTTTCACGCTACATAGAATATTCAAAATTTAAATTAACTGATGTTATTAGAGATTATATTATTTGTAACATTTACAAAATAGTTTTCTACAATTATCTATTACAAAATTACCTTCAATTTTTTAGGTGAAGTTACATATTTCGAAAGTTATGCCGTGAATTAAAAAATTACTCGGTTATAAGATATTTAAATTTCAACTTTAAAATATCAAATTATTATAATTTATCGAAATTTTGAAATGTACGAATCCCATAAAATGAAGTCTCGCATTTGCAGAATTGAATTTTTTTTCATATATCGTACATTTGCAGCTACATCAAGGACTTAGTCATGGTTACAGTATCGCAGTTCATAACGAGTATGTTTACATTTATTTTCAACGGTAGCGAAATAAAATTAAAAGTTTCGTTTCGTTTTTTTTTTTTTTTTTTTAATATTTAGCTCGAATACAAATTTCTTTCCAAATATTATCTGAAAATGCACGAAATGTTTAAATAAATTTTGTTTCTTGTATAGTACAAAATATGATATGAAAAATCAATAATATTAATTAGTAGTTTATTTTACAGTTGTATAATCTAAAGTATTCATTAGTTTTTTTAGTTTTATTAAATATTTTATAATAATTTTATTTCTCCGAAATTTTTTTCCTTTACGAAATAATATAGGTGAGCAAAAATTATAAATTTTTTTTATAGTTGAGTCGCATGGGATGTACACCATATGCAAAAATAAAAATGCTTTTACTTTACCTACTTTTAGAAATTACTTAATTTTTTTTTAAGTTGAAATGATGCGGCTGAATCTCACGGGGACCCTCGTTTCAGAAAAAATCCAACAAAAGGATGTATTCATTATATCCATTAAAACTATACAGAAAATATCTTAAGCAAATATATTACAAGTGCATTATCAATCTTGTAAAGTAAAACACATTAATGGAAAAAGCATCTATTCAGAAATATCAGGCAATAAATTTACCCGTTATGGTAAAAACTTTATAATCCACGTGAATTTCTCTCGATTGCCGGGTTCAGCATCTCTGTTATCAATCACCGATTAACAGACCACTCTTGTTTAGATCTTTCGAAGCTATCGAAGTGAGATGATGGTCTATCGGGGCTGTATTATGCATAGAAAGGACTCGTCGTGGTTAGTCGGTTTTCGAAAATCGTGAATAAGATTTGCGCCCTTCCGTGGACTTTGTCATACTGATTTGCGTGCAAATTTCGAGAGGGTACTTACGAAATGCGATGCGTTGAAAAATAAATCAGAGCTATTTCTTTTATGAATTATTTAAAAATGGATTATGACACCTCAGCAATAAAAAATTGCAAATTATGTTTAATTTATGTTTAATGGAGTGTTTTATGGTTTTAGTTCGATTTGCATTCACATTCTATCGAGTCGATATAAAAATCGTACGAGATAATATAATTAAATATTCCATTAATTGGGGTATACTATTTATATTCTTATTTATATCTTGACGTTTAATTCGATTAATTCGATTCGATTTTCCGTCAGTAGTCTAGTGACGTTGGATTGATAAAATATAGCAAATTTCGACATGTCTACGTTATGTAAGACATTAAAATTCTTAGTTGAATATGAATTGATAATGAATATCAATATGAATTTATGCAATTATTACAAATAATAAGAAAATGTTTCAATAATGTTTCATCAAGATGTAGTAAAAGTATCGAGATCTATTAATATATGAAAAAAAAATGTTTATCCAGTATCACTACATTGATATTTGAACGAGATTCCATTTTATTAGTTAGTAGCTTTGGTATGAATTTCGTGCTCTTCACTAAAATATTTATTGATTAAATAAAGTTTAAAGATTTTAACGAACTGGCAAGTTAAATGATCAATTTCTTGTTTAATCAAGCAATTTCTTTATCTGATTAAAAAAATTCGTAATACAAATTTCATAACAATATATTGATTTTACAAATAAATAATTCTCATTGTCTTTTATTCTTTTTACAAATATATTTGTATTTTGTGATTGCATTGCAACATTTTCACATAAACATTTCATGATTCTATATTAATACTATATCAAAGAGAAATTTGATCAGATAAATAATATTTGTATATTTAAAAGGCACTGAAATTAATTGAAATACCGTTCTTAATGGATGAGGACATTATTATTTTTTTATTATTAAGAGAGAATCTAAATTTGGTTTCGCGTATTATGTGCCGTTAGACAAGGACATTGACGTATGAACTACTGACGTAGTCAAAACTGTAATATTTTTAATGAAATGTTAAACAAAATGCGTTAAAGCAATTGGAAATGCTCAAATGATATAATAGATGATATTAAAACAATGAAATCTTCAATATCTATCCGTATATCGCTATCAATTAAAAATTAAGTTCCCTTCACTCGCTATTGTGTATCTAATGAAAAAAAAATATTTATGAATTGTTTAGCAATATCATTTATAAACCTGTGCAAATTTAATTCTAAATAACAAAACCCAAACAGTTTTTAAAAATGTAAATTAAATGTAATGATAATTTCGTTTTATTTTTGTAAATAACATTTATATTTTTACAATAAATGTACCATTAATTTAATATTATTTTACATATAGCATTACAAAGTATTATTTTATACAATTTCTGTATTGGAGGGCACGAATTTTATCACAAACTTCAATCGTTTGTTAAATAAAAATTAAATGTGACGTAGGTGCGTACATTGTTCATGGCAGATTTGTTGTTAAAAATTATTGTTTTCAATACACAGTATAATGAAATGGGAATGCTATCGGTAAAATTTGTTTGAAATATAAAGTAGCTTGACACAGATGCAATTAAATAAGATTTTACGTTTTCATTATTCAAATGTCATTTGTTAGAGACGACTGTCAATTTAGTATAAAAAATAAGACATCAGCGGAATGAAAAATCACCAAGATCCTTCATGCCGTTCCAAAATGCAAAAGCAGAATAAAGTGGGCTCTATCACAGGAACAATTTTATAAATAAGCGCTTAAAAAAATGACGCGGTTTTATTTTACTGTTAAAAGAGATTGACGGTGGGCGAGATAGCGAGAGGGAGGGGAGGGAATGAGGAGGAGGGAGCGGAGCGCGGAGAAGGAAAATACGAGCAGGACAAAATGCGTGCGCCCGCTCGATTGGTCGCGTGCGTTCTCCATTCTCGCGACCGCTCGCCGTTCACCATAAATCCGGGAAAATGTAGGTTAATTAGAGGAGCGCGGAGGCGCACAGAGAAAACGCTCAGGCGTCGTCGTTTGTCCGACGGCCTCGGGCGTGTTACCTACCCCGCAGGTGTCCTCCTGGCTTGCCTCGTTCCTTCCACCAGCGGGTTTCGAATTTCGCGGCAACACGACGTAGAGACGTGGAAGAAGTAGAAGGTAGCCGTGGACGTGGTGAGCTGCGCGCGCGCGTGCAACCGTCGGACGTCTGAGGAGCTAACGCGGTCTTCCCTTGGTATCGGGCTCTCGTCTCTCGGTCACTTCTTCTCTTTCTCTTGGCTGCTTAAATGGAATCGGTGCGAGGAAGGGGCGAGAACTGCCTCCTCGCGCTGGCCTCATTTTTTACGCGCTCGTTCATTGTACCGAACGATTTCGAGAGCGTGCGCGTACATCCCGACGATTTTTGCGCCATTAGTCTTCGGCGTTGAGAGTCGCATCGGTTACGGAGACCGAATTCCGTAGATATTCCAAGTTTGCTGCTGAACGGCGATGTAACTCGGCTTCGTGAGAAAATGGATGAAGAACTCGGTTGTTGGAAGACGTAAATTTCGACCGTCAATTAGTTAGTTGCGTTTATAATGAAATTATGATTAAATATAAAAATCAAGAGCAGCGGCTATTATTATATGAGCACACCATTTTTCGAAGATGAGTTGCATAAATGAACCTCGAGGTAAAGGGATTAGACGCCCTAGCGATCGCTTCTAGCTCGTCCTCCTCTCGGAAACGGCTGCGAACTCAAATGTGGCACGACCGAAAGGGAAGGAAAGTGAGCGGGAGTAGGAGCGTTTGCGTAACTAAGGGCGGCGTGGAGTGGGGGGAGGACCACGCGTGGGTCCCCAGGAGACGTCGGGGGCACTGGGTCAGAGCGTAAACGGGGTCGAGCCACTTATACGGGTCACGAGGAGACTGGGAATCGGCAGGGAATCAAGAAATCCAAGTGCGTGCATGTGTCATAGTCATCTTTATTCCGTGCAGTTTGCTTATTTTTGTTTTTATTTTTTGTATTTTTGTTTATTTTCTCGGCTACGTGTACACCGATGAACAAGCGTCTTTTGGAGATCGTTAAGGAGGAATGGAATTTCAAGTCGTGGCTGTATATACCATCGTCGCATTTCCTAACCATGTAAACATCAAATCTATTTTATTTTTACCTCTACGTCTTGCTTATATTTAATAAACGTTGTGTTAGCTTAAAGGACAAATGTGGTGAGTAAATTTACTACCATTTAGACAGGGGTAGAGTAAATGAGCGCACGAGGTTATCTGCTATCGTAACAGAAATATATCTTTCGAGACTCATTGCTTCGCGATTCGTAAGCTCGGATTATGTAAGACCTTTGTTTGTCTCTAAATCGATGGTTTCCGTGTAAGCAGGTAATCGATTTATTACACAGTGCTATTGAAAGACCGCGATTGGTTGTGTAAATCGGTTTTACTAAAGATGTTATGTAGAAATAATCCAATATTACGTATACTTTCTGTAGAATATGCTGACAGTTATTTGTTCGTTTCATTCATTGAAAGAAAAAAAGGCCTCTTCTCATGCACAGCAGAACAATTATTTGGTGGTTATAACAATTATATCTCTTGTATTTATTAAAAAGGATATCGCTTTTAATAAATATTAAACACTCGTTGTGTCTAATGTGGACTTTTTAGTTGATTATTTGTCGGTGGACGCGAATCTCGGACTTGACAATATCGATTGCACGCTTTACTTATATACTTTATTTATATTTAATGCCATTTGATAATTATACAAATTCACAGGCTTTGCACTCATGCATAGCAGTTTTTCATAACACTTTAGTCAATCGTTGTCGCCCTCATGCAGATAAAACTTTCAAAGCAAAACACTTTCCTTATTATACATATCTATTTAGTATGATACAAAAAGCACTTTGACGAAAAATGATCAATCTATACATCTCTTATTTCTTTATCTCTTTCTCTCTTGTTCTCTCTTTCTCTTTCTCTCTTTCTTTTTCTCTCACTCTCATTCTCGACTAAATCTAATATACCACTCATAATATCATCTTCCCTTCTTTAAAATCTTAGTCTACGCAAATATTTTACATCGAAACATCGATTAACGCACATCAATACTAAGCCATCGTTAGTCGCGATGGCACAGCTCATGACAGCAATCAATTAATTTTTTCCTAGACGACATTCGAAAATGTGATCAAATTGTTTTTCTTTTCGAGTATTTGACCAGGACATTGAGCGAGTGTTGATTCGTACCGATAAGATAATTTAATGCGGTGAACTGCTCGCTTGACGCAATTAACAAAATATTTTCAAATATAACAAGCATCAAAAACTATGCACATTTATCTTCCAAATGTAGGCAAAAAACCCAATTAATTTTTATATAATTCATTAAAAATTGAAATAATATCGTTGTTTAAACTTTCCTTTAAAAATTTTTTTATTACAAAAATAAATGATCTTTAAGCGTCCAGTAAAAATATTAAATTTTAAAAATTCGTACTCCCAATGATTAGACTTTAACATAGGTTCAAACCCTTTATAAAATATTGTGTCTTTGGCGATATATGTCGAGTCAGAATGGTCCCTCAAGTATTTAAATGAAATCAAAACATATTCTTTTCTTTTTACGATCTCTTTTAAGATAGATAAAACTTGAATTTTAATTGATAAAAAATGTCTCTTGCTACTTGTTCCTCTTCCAATCGATTTACAAGGAACATCACTACCTCCCTCCCCTCTCGCCCAAAAATCGATCTCGATACTTTCGTTGTATCTAACATCGAAAAATGTGTAAGTTTAAATGTCTAGTCCGTACATGCAGCAATTATTAAGACAAATATGCCCTACGAACAAGTACTTTTTGGTTAAAATTTAGCCACGAGGCGCAAACGTTGCTACATCGGCAACTTCGTGCCTTTCCTTCACAATCAATACATTTATATGATAATGTGTGAAGTAACACGCGAGACTTCACGGTCCTTTTACAGAAACTCTAGAGACTTCCTACGTCTAAGCTTAATGTCAACAGTAGGTCGCGCTACAAGTAGGCCGTGTGCTTGCTGCTGTGCTCAAGGGCCGCGAGTACGTCCTGTTTCTGACGCACGTACAGTCGACCCTTTTTCCATGGGTTTTGTAACTGGAGGGGCTTGAAGTCATCCCTGAGGCAGCGTTCACGCGCTCCGATCACCGCCACTAAACAGAAATTGCCCAACTGCTCAGATGGATAGATGGGACCCTCGAGACCCTTGAGCAGTACAGCGACGTTTAGTTGTTTTACCACAAGATCCACGACCTCGCGCGCCGTTGTGCGCCCGGTTACATGAAGTTTTAAGCTCGTACCTGAGGCAAGACCTGTCTCGTAAGCAGCGTACACCTGAGTAAAGGAACGGACTCATTAAGTTGTTGGTAAAAATTCGGATGTTGTGCCAACCATTTAGAGCTCACCTGCAGAATCCCGGGTAGCGCGGTTGCTCGAGATCCCGGTTCTCCGCCTGGTTCATCGCTGTGATCGTCAGCAATAGCGGCAACACTTGCGGTGGATTTACCAGGCGCAGGCGTACCAAGTAACGGACTTGTCGAGGCCGAGGCCGAACTCCGCACAGAAGCGCTCGATGGACGTGGGCCGCGGAAGATCTTGTGCTGAGAACCCGGCGGCAATGTGTCCTCGGATTTCGAGGGAGGCAATCGCGATTGCACCTGTAGTCGGTATGGCTCCGAGCTTGATGAGCAGTTAGAGCTGCTGCTGCCTTTACGGGGATACGGACCAGAAGGCAGCTGCTGCTCGCTTTTGCTGAACTCGGTTGTAAGAAGATTCGTCTGGGGACAACAGGAAGGGTCGACGATATTCGGGCCCGGCCAACTACCGCGGCCCGGGCTCGACTTCACCAATTTCGGATCCCGGGGCGGCAGCTGCAAGAGGCTGCGCTTCAGGCTATTGCCAGTGCTACTGTTCTTATTGCGGTCGAAGTTTAGTAGCTGCTTGATGCTGATTCCACCAATCTGTAATGTAAATGCAGAAATTAGCTTTGAAAATTCGTAATTCTATTACAAGGTTATTTAGTCGCTATATGTGAACGGCGTTTTGTAAACGCCGCGAGAGCCGAAACTAACGTTTTGCGAGGTTGTGCCTCGGTCGCGGGCGAAGGTAATGACGTCGATGAGCCATCTAGCGCCTTTCCATATGACGTTCATCTGAGATTGCAAATCTTGGAGTCTGGCGAGCTTGTCCTTGGCGACAGTGAGTTCGGAGTTGCTGAACGCTTCGCGATGGCTATGCTGCGCGTGAGTCGTGTCGAGTTCGAGAATGTAGCTCAGTCTGGCGTACCGGTTCATGAAGTCCTGCTGATAGGTACTTATGTGTATCATCTCAAAAAGCTGGATTGGTAGGGAGAGGAGGTCGCCACGTTGCAGCAGGATTTCCCGGGTGCCGGGTACGGAGCAAGCGGTTTCCGCGGGAGGGACGGCGAGCAGGAACGAAACATCGGAGTTAAGATCGATAACCTCGGCATCGTAAAGCCGATGGACGAGCGACTCGTCCGAGCCGATGTCCATGAAGTTGAAAAGTCGCTTCGCCGCGGCCGCGATCATATCGATAAAGAGCTTCTGTTGCTCCGAACCCTGGAGCTCATTCGCCGCATTCTCTTTTTCTTCGCTTTGAGCGCAGTAGTCGGAAATCTGAAGCTGTGCAATACGCTTTAAGTGCTCCCACTCCTCGCTGCAAAGCAATACAGAGCGTTAAACAAGCATCGCGGACTAATGCTAGATATTAAAGCTAAGACTTACGCGGAGACATGGGGATTTTCTCGGATTTTGCAATGGGGGAGGACGTTGGGCGATTTGGCCGCCACTACAACCTGAATGGAATCGACGCTACTTTGCATCTTGAGATAACCGAGGTACAAGCCACGCGAGAGCTTGATGCCGCTCACTTGGTGATAGGCCATCTGGTCATGAATGCTGGCCATGAGGATATCGGCAACGTTGCTGTCCTCGTGCGTGATGAGCTTCTTAGTAACTTTGCTCAGTGGTAACCATCTACTGTTGAGTACCGAGACGAGCTTCGGGGAGCTCACGTAGTTCACCGTGGAGAAGACAAGCGTCCCTTGAGCGTCTCTTATTGGCTTGTGGTAAAACCGTCCGAGATCTTGGATGCAAAGAGCAGCCTAGATACAAATCACAGCGTGCGATAATTCAATTCATACACTATCCATCCACTTCAAAATCAAATGTACTTACTTGCATTTGCGTCGCTGCCTGCAGGAGCTTTATCCTAAAGTGATTCGTGGTGATGTTCTGACTCTTCTCCATGTCCTGTTTGAGTGTCTTGACGTCCTCCCATGTACATGCAACCTTCATAAGCCAATGGAAGTCATTGAAAATGCAGCTTGGATACGTTTCATCCACTTCAATCACAGGTAGGAAATCTTCGTTCGTCACCAATACTTTGTCCTCGTGGTAGAGAAGGCAGCCGAGGAATATACCACGACGTAAATTCTTCTGGAATTTACTTGTCGCCGTGAACAGCTGTTTTATTGTCGTCTTTTTTTTGTGATTGCGACGCTGCAGTGCCGGAGTCTCCAAATTGTACTCTGTGCCTCTTATGTCACCCAATAAGTTGTCTAGCTGCTCTAGACGTCCTGCAAAACGTGTCCTTCGACCGTCAAGATCACGCCAGCCTTAAATTCACAATGATACGAAAACGGATATCAATCAAATTAAAGCTAGTGTAAACAATCTTACGGCTACGATCGAATTACCGCCCCAATTATTAATATTATATTGTATTGTATATTGTATTGCTTAATATTATTTGATATATTGGAAATAAGTGCTGAACTTTGCAGATGTTTAATGCGTCAAAACTTCTTGGTTAATTAAATTAAAATACATGCGTCGCTGTATGTATATATATAAATACGCTGCGAAGAACAAGTTAAATTGGAAGTTAGCGTATTGTAAAATTTAGATAATAAGATGATTGGCGATTGTAATGAAACTTTATAGAATTTCACAAAAAATTCGTTGCATAATCAAAGACATATCGTACACATTAAAGTTTTTTTTCTTTAATTAAATATGATGTACTTATTATAATGTTATTTTTTTGTAAAGAATTACTTTATTTCAGACTATGCATAGATGTTAAGTTTAAAATGTACTGGAAATTTAATATTTATTGTAAATATTCTAATATATCTGGATAATTGTACAATTGATTTTATGATTGCACTTTTCAAAAGTAAAACTCATTTCAACTCTAATGCTTATTTGTATAGAATTCATATAGAAACTTTTTAATGGTAAAAAATAAACATTCAAAAAATTCTAAAACTTAAGAAACTATTAGACAATTTTTGCCAACATATAACATAGATATGTATTATACTTATACAATTTTGTAAGCTGTGTAATGGAATAAAATTAAAGGAGGCGTATCTATATTTGCTTCATTCGCTTTACAATTATATTGTAAGGCTATTTTATTTCCTCCGTTCAAAATAGTTACCTAATTTACTAGAATCATTTTTTGTCGATTAACGCGTTTCTTAAATTTATTTCGTAATTTGGAGTATGAATGAAATAAGTATTTCAGGTAAATTCATCAAAAATTTAGTTCATTATGTGACATAATTTGATACATTTAAGCACTCCAATTATTAAGCAACAAATTAATTATAAATATAATACATTTGATTAATTAATTCTTATTTTATTATCTTTGTAGCGTATTTAGAGTTTAATTTATTGATTCGTTCGCTTTCGATATGCAAGAAGTTCAGTAAATGATTCATTAGTGTGCAGAAATAAGAGTGCCTAATCGATTAGCAATCTAAGACGATGTACTGACTGCTTGGGGTAAGATAGGCGGGCGTTGCCGGCCTAAATCTGCTGTAACCCTTGAGATTGCCAGCGGCCGCCCGGAAGTAGTACTTATGACCCTGCAGGAGGCCATCGATACGACATTCCTTCTGCTTCATGTCAAGGAGCTCACGTTCACCGCATATCGTCCCGAAATCCTCCTTAAAGCTCCACTGGATCTTAAACTTGGTGCAAATGGGCGACTCCTGGGCCTCAGATTCTTGAAATCTAGCTGTGACGGAGGTAGTACCGATTACGTCAACCGTCACCAAGAAGGGCATGTCTGGCGGTCCTGTAATTACAAGCTACTTATTGATCAACGGAGCTTTTGTAATTAAGTAAGAGAAGCGGGCAAATTGATAAGAACAAAGTGTACGATTTTTAATTAATTTACACAGCTTCGCTGCTAATCTTTGCGATACTCCTTGGTTAGTTTTAAAATCTTCGTCAGGAATACAAATTGGGGCGGAGGCTACCGCAAAGCTTTGTTCTATTTAACTTACGCGTTCAGGCAATCGAACGACCTGAACTTCCACGACAAGCAAATGCAATTATGACTATTGAATCGGGGCTTGGCCAACTTTACTTTGGAGTCGCTAAATTTCGATGGAAATATAGCGGCGGTACATTCTATTAAGACATGAAGTATTTACAGTATTTATTCAGGACAGTTCGTGACTTGAAGTAAAATGTGTACTTAGTTTTCGCTACGCACATCTAACAAGACTGTGCTATTATCTATTTTAGTCTATTTGCCAGTTAAAAGTCGAAAGTTTGTTATAACATTTCCAATCGATGTGTTCTTGATTAACGAATAGGATATTTTTATATTAATTAAATTTAGTAAGCAATTCAATATTAATAATTATAAAAGCGTGTTCACGACAACTTGAAATTTGGAATATATATTTCTAATTTTATTTAATTTATTTTTTGAACGAGCAATTTTCCGAGCCTTTTTGAAACATTTAATCTAATTATCATAATTAAAAATCATGCAGTTTGTGTGCTAATAATCATGTCACAATTTTTGCAAAAAATTTAAATTACTTGAATTTTTTATTTTCACATCATTTTTTAATTGTAGTATTTTCAGTTAATACAATTTCAAGATAATATGATGAAGATAAAATCCACATGTTCAAATAAATAAACTTTGCAGGTAAGTAGATTGTTGAATAAAAATTCAAATAATTATATATAATTCAATTTATTTTAAATGCATACTAATAAGTTTTTCTGTTTTATTACTTTGTAAATTTATTACAAATTTTAAAATTGAATTTACAATATATTTAATAATCAATAATATAAATACATGGTGATTTTTAATAATGAGACAAGTGTAATTTGTTTAAAACAGGTATTTACGAAATTGGATATTTAGTAATTGCGACTTTGTGATTTAAATTATAACCTTGAATTATTAAATTTCATAATAATTATATTTAATCAAATTGATTTATTAAATTTACATAGTCATGTATTTATAAAATACGTATAAAAGGTTTATATTAAAAAAAAAAGAATAATAAATAATAAGAGGTCTTAAATTTCAATGTTGATCCTTATCTACCAACTGCATATTCCTAATATTTACATGATTTAGAATATAAGGAGTATTTTTAATTATATAAATAGAGTATTTTTAATGATGTAAATAAATTAATAACGATGTGAACGTTCATACGATTATAGATTTTTACAGATTTAATTAATTAATTTTTCTTCCAAATTTTGTGACTAAAATTTTATTTTTAAGGAACATAATGTTTTTAGTAATTTATCTCATAAAATATTGACGAAGCTTTCAACTTGTACTAGTTAATATTTTTTTTTTAAATCCTTCAATTTGTTTGATAGTATATCTGCCTTATGCATCACCTAACAATTTTCATGCATTTACTAATAGAGAATTTATAAAATAAATCGTTTATATGTATAATTTCAGAAAACAACGAAATTGTATAAAATAATTCTTATCTTATAATGTATAATTTCAGAAAACAACGAAATTGTATAAAATAATTCTTTAAATGAAATATTTTTATTACATTATTTTTGCATTTTATGAATAACAGAATTGAAATAATAATAGAATTCTCCATAATCTGTAGGCTTTTATGATATGATTCTTATAAAATTCGAACCAATAGTGAGCATTAAAATTGAACGATTTTCAAATTCATATTTATGTAGAATAATGAAATAAATAAATATATTTATACATATGTGCGTATGTGTGTGTATGTGTGTGTATGTGTGTGTATGCACGTGATATGAGCACACCTGTATATAAAAAAAATTACTCGACTAATAAAGAATTAATTTTAGAAGCAATATTTGTATCATAGACCAAAAAAATAATTCGTTAAAATGCCGTGCTATTCAACTTGTTACAATTGATTGAATAATAATTAGAAACCTTTAACTCCTTGTAATTGTAAACTATGAACAAAGAGTTTTCTAAGATATTAATAGAATCATATATAGATCATTATTTATAGAAAATGAATTCATAATAATATCATTTAAAATTTTAACTGCTTAATAGTTTTCTATCTAAATTATAGCAAATTTAAATGAAGTAGTAATCTGAATTTCAACTCCATATTTCATTCTATATATTTATAATAAAATATAACACCAATAAAAATAACATAACACACAAATAATATATGATTAATATATGATAAAGATAGTATACACTTTTAAGAGATTTTTATTGTCTGATTTTTATTTTTGTTATTTTTTATAGCTGAAATGTGTTGAAAATCTGTATAAGATCACGCAGAATAGAATATTAAGTATTTATTATAAAATATACTTAGAATATAGAGAATACTAATATAAAACTTCATTCAATTTTATAAATTTAAAAGATAATATCGTTAACGTTAATTGAATCAAAATAATTTTTTTTGTCATAGGTCTTTGTTAAATAAATAATTATATTACGATAAATTGTTTTTAAATAAATTTTTCATGAGAAAGAGCAACATTTATAAATTAAGAATAATATTTAATTTTATTTGGTATACAAAAAGCAAGTTTCATAATTTACATGAAACCGAGGCTGTTTCAATATCGCACTCGACCTTCTTACTACTTAAAAAGAACATAAAGGCTTAAGCTTACGCGCTTGATCGAATCCAAGGAGCATTTTTCTAAGCGCCCTGGCTCTGCGTTCCCAGAGTGCAAGCTGCTTGTCCTCGGTACTGCCCCCGCAACCGGTCAGGTTGTGCTGCGAGGAGAAGCTGCCCCTGTGGCTCTGGCTTGGAGGTGGCTCCAAAAGAGCCGAACCGGAGGCAGGGTTGCTCCCGATTGTCCCGCCCCCAAGTGCTTGTACTCGGTGTTCGGCCTCTGACAATAGCGAGGCTAAGTGACTGCCTAGTGACTCCGGTGACTTGACTGTACCAACAAGAGTGAAAATTTTTAGTATCTTATGCTTTTAATAGCTTGCAATCTCGTCTGTTATATTAATAAATCGAGGAAGTCAGTATGGGACTTATTTGAATTGACAACGATGAACTTTATGACTCGGTATTAGATTATTGCTTGTTAAGCATTCGCGTGTCGACGATGTTAAAGCTTTGAAATCCGATTAGGCGTTCTTAAATTCAAAATAATTCAACAATGATTTTCAGATACTCGCAAAATAATTTTAAGACCATTTAATATCGAATAAATAGGCTATTCATTGTCAGTTTCATAATTTTTAAAAATATTATAATGCATATTTAAAAAAATAAAATAAAAAGGTAAATGGATTGTGTTTTTAAATTTCGACTACTGGAAGAAATTAAGATGATCCCAATATATGTACGAGATTGATTTAATATGACACCATATTTAATAAGTTGATCGAAATATCCCTTATTTATAAACATGGATGAAGTTAAAAGAAATGTTATTTTTGTAAGGAATTCTTTGATTAATTGCATATTAGTAAGAATTTTCTTTTTAATCGATTATACCTATGCGATTATAATTTCCTGCAGTTGTTTTTCTTTAACAAAATATTTTCTTTTTATCGTTAAAGTTTTATTTCATTATTTATAATTATCTTAGATTTTAATTTTAGAGTAAATACCATATCGTTGCGTAAAAGAACATTATTAATGGGATTATAAATACCTATTATACAAATTTCGCGTATCATTAAAATATTTCTATAAATATAATGAGTATATAGAATATTGTGGTAAAATTGGTGGTAAAAGTGGTAAAGTGTGGTAAAATTTCTAATTAAAATTCAGGTGTTCAAGTTCACACAAAAAAATTTTCTGTTAAAACAATATTTTTAAATGCAAGTTAACATTGTCACTGACTTTTCAAATAAACAAATGTTTCACAGGTATATGATACTTTTACTACTTGCATTATATTCTACTTAAAAGGGATAAAAAAATAAATATAAACTGTGTTAGTATTTATTTTCTAAATAAATTTTTTAATGCTAAATAAATAATGGCCCTTATAATACTATTTTTTAAAACATTACATTGAATAGTGAATAGTGAAAATAGGGAACAACAGGTTAAACTAGTTTCTCGTGTATAAGAGAATAGTTCTATAAATTCACGCGACAATCACGGATACCTGAATTTCGATAACGGTTATGAGTTTTAAATGCTTCATCTTAAAAATATCAAGCTCATAGTTGGATACTGATTTGTGATACAAACTTATTTATTGTGTATGTGACACTGGCTAGGTAAAGTTATCATAAAATATTTGATATTTAACAATAATATGCGTACAAGATTATGAAAAATAAGAAAATGCAATCAAATATTCAACAAAATTAATTAAAATCATATTGCGAAGACTTATATTTTACACACAAGGAGAAAATTGTAACGAAATCGCTTAGTTAATCAATATTTCTTAAAAATATTTATATTTCGTATAGGGTAAATGAAAGTATGTCATAGATATTGTATTTTCTCGTTTATGTATTAAACTAGAAAAAGTCTTTACTTTAGTCAATATAAATATTCAATATTATTTTATGCATTAGAAAAATTAAATTAAATTAATAAAATATTATTTAATATATATTATTAAAATATTTTATTTATGTTTTAAACAATGTTATTCAAATATGTCGATGTTTTCATTCTGTCTACAAATTTAAAAGATAAATTTTGACAATGAAATTTGTTAATTTTTTAGTTTACATAATGTAAAAGGTCTAATAACTTTTTTTATTTTTTATTTTTACTATTAAATCTGTTACTCTATAAACAATTTATAGCTAATGCATTTTATTAAAAAGATTTTAAATGATAAGAGATTGAAATTCAGTTAAATTTAATGTGGCCACTTGATTATGATATTATAGTATAAAAATCTTTCATATTTAAATTATGAAAGATAGAATTTTTGGTATATTATAAAACTATTATCATTAGAGTATTCTATTATATGAAGATTATATAACATTATTCAAAATTCATATGAATAAGTATTAACAAAATTTATTCTTATAGATTAAATAAAATCGTAACTATAATAGTAAATTATTATTTTTTTCCCAAATATATCATTTTTATATGATAACACTATTAATATATTTAGCAATGATTAAATAATTACTAAATTTCTTATTAATCAGATATGATAAGTTTAAATATAAATTAGTAATATATTAATTTTTTCTTAATTCAGATTAAATTTTCACATTGAAGTCAAATAATTTATATTTGTTTCAGTTTTTAATTGAATTTTAAACTAAAATAACGTAAAGTGTAAAAACATTAAATATTTATAGTGTCCGTACAATTTGTAAATATAACTTTATTTCTACAATTTTGTTGTTATTTGTCTATAGTCACTTAAATTATGAATACTCATTGCTTATTTATCACAATAAATTATTAATTTCATCATATAGCAGTAGGCACTTTAGTTTAAAAACATATAACAAAGTTAATGGATCAAATAATCCTAGTACTGTTTTTGGAAAAATTATTATTGCCTTACAAAGATTGTAATTGAATTATTATAGAATTCAGAAAAGGTGTTCTTATAAATTATATTTAAAAACTGTATCGTTCAGTACGTTGTAAATATATTTAACTTAAAAGACTTATATATTAATTCTTCGATCTTTACTTCTTAGTAATAACTTTCCCAACACATTTAACTTTGTACATTTTGTAACACGATAACAATTCTTAGAAATTCTTAAAATATTCCATTTTAATAATTTATATGTATATTATTGAAAAATGCTTATTATACAATATTTAATAACTATTTAGTTTTTCAATTTAAAAATACAATTTGTACGTTTAAATTTATGAATTATATTAAAATATATATTCTATTGTTACAGGTTCCCTCGGTATTTTCATTATTGCTTTTGCTGTATTGTCTCCTTAGATAAAGATGTTACTTTTCGACGTGTCTCAAATATGTTCTCAGAAAATTCTGCATGACTACAAATATGATGATTATGCCCTAAAAATCAATCAGTTATTTTTAACTTTTTCTTTTTTACATTCTGTATTGTCATCAGATTTGCAATAAATTTGTAAAGATATATATACGTAGTAAATGTAATTTGAAATATACAATTGAATTTTTAGGGACAACATTTTCAACCATTTATAAAAGCTTTTTAAGCATTAAACACGATTTAAATACAAGCATTATAAAATTATGAATGCTTTATGTAATGATAATACTACAAAAAAATTACATCATACTATATAAAAAATATTTCCTATTTACAAATATAAAAATATTAGGTTTTAAGATAAATATTTTATTACTTTGCGGATAATTGTGCGTAATAGATTCATGAAATAATTGTGATTTTAAATTTATTCGGGTTTTGAATTCATATGTACATCTGAATATTTGGTACTTTACTAGAATTTCACTTATAACAGTTTGTAACTGCATAGTTGTAAATTATTAAAGGCTGATAAAGTCTAATTTGCTTTTACACTAAACATAATAATCACACATTGTCCAATTTATTATTTCTTGATTGCTTTTTAGTACCCTTACTTTAATGTAAAACGCACATTAAAGCACATGCAAATTTTACAAATCAAGTATTATCATAAAAGTATGAATGATATGGGGTACGTTTAAAAAAGTTCAATTTTTCAAATAATTAATTTTTTCTGAGTTTGCATGAACTAAATATATTTAAATTAAATATTCGACATGATGCTGCATTTTCTCAGATTTATCAGGATCCTTCGCATAAAATCAATTTAGTAAAGAAGAAAATTAGAATCAATTAAATAAAAATTAGAAAATCAATTAATTTGTTTATCCATTTTGCACATGCAGGGATTTTTCGTTTAGAATGTATTTAGAATCATCGAAATACTGGAAAGTTTGATTTTTTTTATTTTAAGAACCGTAGCAAATGGGTATTATTGTAATTACATATACTCTGATTTGCAGTCAACGTTCTTAATATCAAAGAATCCGTTCTTGAAAAATATTTGGCTTTGTAGATAGCTTAACATTTACTGAATTCATCATGATGATAATATATTAGCATATTTTAGTAATGGGTCTTATAATTTCGGCACTCTACGATTATTAAGAATCCTCATCGCAATTTAAACAATTTAAAGCTCAATATTGAGAGAAATAAGCCAGTAATTAGTAATTGATTTTACAACGTGTTACGGGCCATTCAAGCTTTTCAATATGATTGTTACAGCCAATCGTCATTTTCAATCGTTTACAATGGTAATGTTGAAGTAATGAGAACTATTATTAATACTACTGTCGATACACTCAATCGATTTATTAAATGGCTTTAAATTTGAAATTTTGATAGAAACTCTCAGCATTATTGAGAACAATATGAAAATAATATTATTGTATATGGAAATAATATTATTAATAATTCCGAATTATATCATTTTGAAGCAATAATTTACGTGCTACTTCAATTACAAGTATGTAATGATTCTTATTGTTATTATTAAAATTCCAATACTAGTCATGTCTTTAATATTAAATAGCTTCTCACATTTTTTAAAAATTTTAACTTAAATTTTACATGCCTCATCAATATTAAGATTTCTGTCATTATATTTTGATACTTTATTAATATTAATATTAATGAAAATTGCATTGGAAAATATGGATTATTGATCCCGTAATTAAGAGAATTTATATTATAATCTTAAACATTTTTTTACATGTGTTCTTTGCATAAATACAAGTTTGGCACACAATTTATGTGTTAATATAGTAGTTACATTATTAAAGCAAATGTTTTAAAGAACAACATCAAGTTTCCAAATTAAAATTTGTAAAAAAAATAGTATTAGCATTAGTTGTATTAAAGTTGATTATGTATTGAATATTTATTGTCATTATTTTATCGGGAATAACATCAAATAAATATAATGTAAGGATTAAGAGAG